GGGCCCACTGCACTCAACAGGGAACGGCAGCAAGCAGCGACTGCTGTCCTCGCTCTCCTTAATCTCCCAGATCTCTATCCACAAGGGGGCTGTGTTCAAGTGCCAGGTGTCCTATGTGGGGAAAGACAAGGTGGTGGTGAAGAGGGTGTCGGACAAGTTCACTATTGTAGGTAAGGGACAGCTCTCGCACCTGGGTTGGGGTCAATTTCACTTTAATTTAGGACGTTTGATTGAATTTAAATGGAATTGTACCCAACACTGTCTCTCTTACAGAAACACTTTCTCATTCTTTGTGCTTTTCCTCTTCCTTTTGACTCAGTGTATTTGTAATAATTGTATTCAAATTACTTGTCCTGTCCTCTCTTACTTTTCTTCAGCTCCCCCTGAGGTCTCAGAGATTCAGCTCACAGAGGCAGGTGATGACTCCGGTAAGATTAACTCAAGTTCAAGTTCTTGTGTTTTTAAATACAATACAAATGACAGTACATTGCATATCAGGATTGGAGTCCATCCCATTTCAACTCAACAAATTGCCCTTTTAACAGTCATTTAGCAGCCATTTTTATCCAAAGCAACTTAAAACAGTGAGCGCAAAACATGCTTTGTGTGTGTATGATCCCTGCGGGAATTGAACACACAACCTTGTCGTTGCCAGCGACCACTGGCGACCCGTCATTCATGGCAGGTGTGGCAGAGCCCCACCTGTTTAGAGCACCACATTTTTAGCTAACAAATAAGAAAGTAAGGCAGCTCCAGAAAATAAAAAGTAAGGCAGCTCCAAAATGCAGGTGTTTCAGCCTAGCTCAGTGCTTTCTGTGGTGGTGGGGCAGCCAGCGGAAAATACGGAGCATAGGTGTTGGTAATGTTCTCTAGTTTCGCCGTGATTGGCTAAGTGTTCTGACACTCATGGGGACACTACGTCACCGCCAAGTCTAAGGGTAGAGCTCGAAATTTCAAGCCCCTTGGGTGCTGCCATAGAGTTACATTAGAAGTGCCCATCCAAGAAGGCTCAAGGTCATTGACCACAGATAAAATGACATCAAATCACGATATATCTACAGTAGCTTTGATTGGACATATCATGTCAACACCATACTTTCTAAATCTTAGCTAGCAGTCATCATCATGAATCAAGTCGACAATCTACTGGCAAATCATTTTTAATCCTTGTCATATCAAGAGAAATAATGAAGAGAAATTATAGATAAAACATATTGGTGCTCATCGGCCATTGGACATAAACAACAAGTTGGAAATCACAAAAACCTTACGGCTAAGGGTTTTAACTTTCCTCTTGAGAATTAGAATCAGAAGTATAGCCATATAGCTCATCGCAATACTTCACCCCTTCGGGCAAATAGTACTCTAGACTGTCCTGATCATCTAGTTGAGCATTACAGATAATTCCTCCATCCCAGCAGAAATATCTTATCTACATAGTAGGATTTTAGATATGCAGATAGAGCAAAGCCCAGTCTATGTTACAGTTACTATAGTCAAGTCTGTGGGTTATTGTATTTTAACATAGATGTTACCATTTTAGTAATCAACTTAACTAGCTAGTAAAAGTAACTTTTTTGTTTGTCTTTCAGATGGGCGGACCGGAAACCCAGTGACAACACCCGGGTCTGCAGCTGCCATTTTCCGGTGGGAAAGAGAAATGGCACTGTATTTACCAGAAAAGGTAGCTCATCCACCATGGCAGAAGAGGAAGATCCAGACTGTTGATTGGGAAACCAGAACAAACAATGAGGCATGAGGATTGGGTGTTAAGTATGAAAACAATGCATTTTCTGTCCAGATAAAGATGGTGATACAGCATTGAAAAATACCTACAACTGACCAAATGTCTCTTTGTTTTCCAGTCCAACAGGAGCGCATCCCACAGGCCACCCGGTGCATGGACATCCTGTGCCATTGTGATCTGGTTGTGGAGACTACAGCAGATTGAGCCTGTGGACAGACAGGTCAGTAACTCATCAAATATGATACAATATTGTGTAAAACATTGAATTTGTAGATGCATCAAAATTGACTTCATGTCCCCTTTTCCCCATGTTTTAGACATGAGGCGTGACATGCGGAACATCAGGCTCACCCCACGAGAAGAAGTGCATGATCAACACCACCCTCGGCAAGGAGATCTGCTGGAAGTGATGTACTCTCACTCTGGGGGTAAGACATAATTTAAACATCACAGATATAAATTCCCACTGTGCCCATGATAAAATGCAATGTGAATTGTGTTGTACTACTGAATGAAACTGAGGAGATGCACTCAGACCAGCCTTTGTGATTGAACTTACATTAACGACATTACTTTAATTGCCTGCTTTGAGCAAAACTTTAATGTATTATAACCTATTCTAAGAGCTTATTGTTTGTGTACGATTCTTATTCATTGTTCACTTGTTTTTCAACGTCAGGTAGAGGCAGGGATGACTGGGGTCTCCAGAAAGGAAGACACGGGGGGTAAGAAAGAATTTGAACATCACAGATATCAATTCCCACTGTGCCCATGTTAAAGTTAACTAAATTACCTTAGTTGGCTGCTTTGAGCAAAACTTGTATGTAATTTAACCTATTCTGGGAGCCTAGTGTGTGTATGAACTATGTGGAATATCTTTGGACCATTGGCTTCCCTGAAAACAGGTACTGACAGGAGGAGCAATATGAGTCAGTTAGAGGTCGTCATGCTGGATGGGGATGGTGATGGAGGCTTTGGTGGTCCACACAACGAAGAAGCAGGTGTCCCTTCCAGTGATGTGGAGCTGACCTTGGACCTGGTGCCAGTAAGGATGGTCTTCACGGAGGCGGTAAGACCCTCCCTCCTTGATATAGAAATCCTTCCCAGCATAGGGACACTAGACTGCCACCACTGCTGTGGTGCCCACCAGACTATCCAATGAGGCACCCAGGATCCCAGACCCCGTGACCCAATGCCCTGACTCCTGCACATCCATCCCTGTAGCAATTTTGAATGCCTTGATGCCTTCCTCTTTGTTATCTGTGCCCCACTTTACAGACAACACCCCATCCAACGACTGTGAACACCTTGAAATGCATTTGTTGTAAGAAATGTGCTATATAAAAAAAGTTTGATTTGATTGATGACATTACAGCTGTAGAATATGAAGTGCAGTTTTTCCATAAACTTTTAATTGAGAACTTGGAATTGTATCACTTGACATATCAATCATATAGTGGGAAGGATCCCATAAATCAAGACTGTGTGAATGCATGTACCACTCTGAATAAATAAATACTGTGCCTTTGAAGATTTGTCGCTGGTCATGAAACTACAATAATGGCTGGATGTCTACACAAAGTCCATTTTGAATGTCAATAGATTTTTAGATTCATTCTCATCAATGACAACATTCTAGAACTGAGTTATCACTCATCAAAGTCTGGTATCTGGGGTAATCTGGTTAATTATTATATAATTGATGAAGTGGCTCTTTCCTTGTAGAATGTTGACAGCTGTATAGAACACATTGTATTGCTAAGATGCTCAAACTTAACTTAATAGCTACACTCACAGACACAGGATCAACTTGATCCCTCATGCTGGCCCTGACCAAACCGGTAAGTTGCTCCTCACTATAGCTGCACTTCTCCACATGGCCAGACTTCTAGTGGTTTTCTCCCCTTTTAATGCTCTTATGCTCATCCTTGAAAAATGCCATAAGGTCTGAAATAGACACCAAAGTGGACATACTGTACAAACTATTATCTAGGCTAAGTAAAACAAAATGATTTTTTTATCTTCCGCTAACTAGCTAGCTAAAGTGTAGTCAGTGGCTAGCTTGACAGAAAAAGGGAACATAAATTGGGCACAGATCACGCTGGTGAAGTGTAGCTGACAGTGTCTGCTAGAGATGAGGTGCAAGAGCTTCCTGCAGGAATGTGTAGTCTTGCTGAGGTCTTCTCTGTTGCTAATTTCCATTTAGAATTTTTTAGAGTAAATTGAGGCGAATATATTGACAACTCACCTTGTTTGAGAGAGAATTACATGGATATCAACACGTCACGCCAGGGTAAGCCTACACGAAACACAGACCTTATATAAAGTAGTTCTAAAATTCCAGACGCAAAAATGAATGGGGAAAAAACGATTGGAACCATTACCGGGTTTTACCGCTAGGTTTTATGTGTATTATGAAGCGTCCACTGTGCCTGACCACAGCGCTTTCTGCAATGATGCGGATGCGACTTGCCTTAACCAGAGAGGAAGAGGCGAAGCGAGAGGGTTTACTCCTCCCAAAAATAATACTTTTTGTATGGACGTCAATGATAGTCTCAAATTTGGCAAAAGAAGAAATGTAATTGCACATTTTCTACATTATGCTTATTTGATCAAATAGAAGTTTCGTAATGGTTAGGTTGTTAAAAATGCACTGATATAAGTGGACGCATGTGGCATTTCGCCAACTTAGAAAACAACAACTTTGTATCAGAGTTGCGCCATTGTTCACACGCTTATCTGCCCTCTCATTGGCTAGAATGGTCCCACCTGCTCTCGCCTCTCTTCCATATTTGAGGACATGTATTTCCATTGTTAAAGAGGTCACTCGACCATCTTGTCAATATAATAGATATTATTCGCCTAAACTAATCATGCGAGTTTCCTAGTTCAAAGTAGCATATGAACGCAGCATTATCCTCTTCCTGGTGTATACTCGACTGTATTGCATTAGTTAAAACCAAGACTGTTCTCATGGCAGGTCTGCCACTTTTCACTAGCAGAAGTGACTTACGCAGCAGTTTAGCAGAATTACCGTGGCCAGTTAGGGTAATTAAATTGAGGTTAGAGAAAGGTTTAGGGTTAGCTAAAATTGTCTCTGACGCGACTTGAACATATTTAGCTACAACGAGGCCTGCCCTGAAAACAGTCTTGGTTTCCACTAATGAGATGACGCGTATACCGGACATCTCAGCTTCAGGAACTAGCTACATATATGACGAGCTGTCACCAAAATGCGCATTTTAATTTGCTCGCGTTTAGACCTCTGGAAAAGTTAATAGGTCTATTTGACAATTGACTAATGTCATTTTTTTTGTTGTCAACGTTTGACAAAATAATTAATAGGCCTATCAAGATGAAGTAGGCTACCCAGGTTCCAGTTACTTTGTTGTAGCCTACTCTGAAGAGAAGTGTATTATTTTATCGAAGAAGGCACTGAAACACCAAAAGATGGACTCACCAGCAAGCGCCCTCTCTCGTGCTGGGAGGACTTTCTGGACAGTTTGGGTGAGTTTCTGCTCTGAAATAATTTACTACAGAAGGACACCGTTTTTATAGCCTACCGTGATTGGTTTATTATTTCCTATTGTTACCAGTACTATAGTTCTATTTTAGACTATTTAATAATTTGCTGATGAACAATTCATTTGAATTGAGAACTTCCCCAAGCAGGAGAAAAATATAATGACAGAATTAACTGTATTTCACTGTACCTGGTTTGATGTAATGTGATCATATGTTATCATATATGGACTCTCTCTCTCTCTCTCTCTCTCTCTCTCTCTCTCTCTCTCTCTCTCTCTCTCTCTCAAACACACACACACAGAACTACTTAACGGAAGTTGTGGGAAGGTATCTAAGCCCAGAGCCCACTAACATAGGAACCAATGACACAAACTCAAGACAGGAAGTTACTGCTGCACCACAAACAGAAGACCATGTTGATGGTGCGAAAAATGAGATAAAGGCAACTGAGGTCACTTTTGAAATAGGCTCTGAGCTTAAGAAACCACGACATGCCGTTGCCTGGGAACAGTGCAATGTTATCATTGGTCCAGGGCTCGGCAGAGAAAATGTGCAATACACTGGACAATCCAACAGAGGGAGTGATAGCAAAGCATCCCATGAGGAGGAGGATATAAAACAAGAGCAGGTGGACCAAACAGAAAATAAAGACACAATCCAGCATGTTACTAAAGAAGAATTAAATATGGGGAAAGGGGTCCAATCGGTGTTATTCACTGGGGTCCAGATCTTATTCAGAGAGCCGACATCTGAAAGGTCTAAGGATCAGGGAGCACAAGGACATGCTGAGAGTTACAACTGTGCTGAAGCAAATAGATTAAGAGGTGCAGTGGCAGCAAGAAAAGAGGAAGAAGAAGAAGTTACTGAAGAATTCCACTGTGGTGAAGAAGGAACCAAAACAGAGGAACATGAAAATAATAGAGATGGAGAACTACATTTTGATATAGAGTCCCCAAACCTTACATCAGCCTGTGCTGAACCTGCCGCGCTTTTAGATAAGAATAGGGACGAGGAAAATAAGGACAGATTAACGATACACGATGAGCAAAGTACAGAGGATGAAACCATGGTAAGAGTCAATGAAAAAGTTGGAGAGGAAGAAACGGCAGTGCTCTTCATGGAGACAGACAAAGAAGGGTGGAACGTAGCAGAAATAGTAGAATTCTCGGGGGGAGGGGAGAATAGCGATGATCTGTGTGTAATCAAAGATGAAATTAGTCAAGATGGTAATGAAGGGAAGAATGGCATAGACATGGAAGAATTTAGGAGGAAGGAGGAGAGCGAGGAAGAGAATGGAACAATAGAAGAGATGGACACAAGAGAACAGGAAGAGATATTGGACGGGGACTTTGGACCATACAATGATTTCAAAGTCTCAGAAAACAATAACAAACATGAATATGGTGACAATCGTTTGAAGTTTGATGAAGGAACTATAGAGAAGCTTGATCAAGAAAATGACCCCAACCCACGACTGCTTTGTGAAGGATTATCAGACTTAGATAGAAAATTGGGAAGAGGCCAGGACATTTTTGCTTCTGAGGCAGAGTTAGAATTACAAATAGCCTATGACAAAAGAGTCTTTGTGTCAAATGATGAGATAACTGTTGTTACAGACGAGCAGAGAATGGAGTGCAATATTGAAAGAATTGACAGCCCAGTGTTAGAGGATGGATCCAAAGTGATTGAGGACGGGATAGAAGACGTTGTAATCAACATTGGGACGAAGGTGGATACAGAGGCAGAGGATGTGAAAGATAAAGTGACTGGACTGAATACTTTTTTTGATCAGGAGAGAAATAAACTAGAGGAAGAAAAGATCTCAAAAGAAGACGAGGACCCCCTTAATGAAGTGGAGGAAAAACTTATTTCAGTGGTTGATACTGTGGAAGACAACAATAGAGTGGAAATCGGAGGCGTGGCGAAATACATTTCCCTTGGGCTATGTGAGGATCCTGTTGTGGCTCAGGAGCCAAAACATGTAGCGTGTGAAGAAACTCGAGAGGAAATTCCGGAAATCAACAATGGCAAAGAGTTAGACGAGAATACGGCACCGAAGATCCTGGAAGTTGACGACGATGATGTCAACACCACCCATTTACAAGAAGTACACACCGATAGTGATACCAAACAGTTAGAAAGTGTAGAGAACACTGGAACTAGTTTTAAATCGGACAATTCACCAGTGAGTGAACTCATGGAAGGGAAAGAAGATCCGAAAACTGTTGAAGGATTATTTGAAAGTGAGGATATTGAGAATGCCTCTGATACAGTAGTAGACGAGTGCGCGGTCGAGAAAGCAGCGAAATCACTGTGGGAAACGGAGAGAACAGATTCTGTATTACTGAATGAAACAGACACTCAAATACTAGAGGACCTAGCAAAGACAAAAGCTGAATCACATGAATCAATGGAGATTGAGGTAGGACTGTCAGAGGAAGCAGCAGAGACAGATGAGACACTGAGAACAGAGGCTGGATTATACAAAGACACAGAGGAGATAAAGGCAGAGTTTAGAGAGGGATGGATGGAGTCAAAGGCAGGGGAGACAGTGGGGACAGAATTTAAATCAGTGAAGGAGACACAGGCAGAAATACCAGCAGCGAAGACAGGGGTTGTGCCATCAGAGGACAAAGATGAGACAGAGTCTGGATTAATGCAGGAATCAGCAGATACCGATCTTGGATTACTAAGGAAAACTGTGGAGGAAGGGGTACAACAGGGGGCAGAGGTAGACACACCAGATGTGAGGACAGAGACCGTGCTATCAATGGAGACAAACACAGAGGAATTAGTGGAATCTGAGGCTGGGGACACGTTGGAAACTGAATCTGGATTAGTGAAAGAACATGAGGCAGAAATACCAGATGTGAGGACCGAAACTGCATTATCAGAGACAACTGTGAAGACAGAGGCAGGATTATCAAGGAAAGTGACATTGTACCCATTATCAATTCATACAGAGGCTGTGTTTCTCACAGAGACAAAGGCTGTTTTTTCTAATGAGTCACTGGAAACAGACAATGGATTATCAGACAAATCATCTGAGGCTGGGACTAAATTACAGGGAATGGTAGAGACTGGTTTACCAGGTTCAACAGAAATAGAGGCCAAATTATTCGAGACAATGGTTTGTGGAGAAGTTGTACTATCACAGGACACAGAAAATGGATTATCAGAGGAAAAATATAATATAACATCTACATTAATGGAGGAATTGGTGGAGTCAAGGGCTGGGGAAACATTGGAGACTGAAAAGGGAATCATGAATGAAACAGACGCAGCAATACTTGATATGAGGATAGATCCATCGCCATCAGATGAAACAGAGTCTGGAATAGTTGACACAGAGGCCAGAATGTTTTTGGAAACAACAGTGATTGAGTCTGAATTATTGGAGGAATTATCTGAGACTGAGTCTGGATCACAGAAGGACAAAGAGGTAAAAAGACAGAGGACTGAGACAGAGCCATCGGTGGAGACAGATGTAGAGGAATTAGTGGAATCTGAGGCTGGGGATACGGTGGAGACCGAAGTTGGATTAGTGAGGACAGTAGCCAAATTACCAGAGGAAGTTAGGCCAAAGATTGAGCTATTAGAAAAAATGAATAGAACAGGTGCTGATTCATCAGAGGACACCGATGAGACAGAGGCCAGATTTTCAGAGGAGATAGAGACTGATTTAGTAGAGACCAAGTATGGGTTACAGAAGGACATGGAAGAAGACATACTACATATGAGAACAGAGACTGTGTTGTCGGTGGAAACAGTGAAGACGGATACTGACTCATCAGACGAATCACTGGAGTCCAGATCACTTGAAATATCAGAGGCTGGATTATCTGAAGAATCAGTGGACAGTGAGGCTGGATTACAGGAGATTTACACAGAAATACCAGATGTGGAGAAAGAGTCTGGATTATCAGAGGAGACCATAGATGCGGGATTATCAGAGAAAACAGATGTGCCAGACACAGAATTCGTGAAAAATACAGAGGCTGGATTAATGCTAGAGGCTGAACTTTCAGATGAGACAGAGGCTGGAATAGTTGACACAGAGGCCAGACTTTTTTTGGAAACAACAGTGATTGAGTCTGAATTATTGGAGGAATTACCTGAGACTGAGTTTGGATCACAGAAGGACAAAGAGGTAAAAAGACAGAGGACTGAGACAGAGCCATTGGTGGAGACAGATGTAGAGGAATTAGTGGAATCTGAGGCTGGGGAAACGGTGGAGACCGAAGTTGGATTAGTGAGGACAGTAGCCAAATTACCAGAGGAAGTTAGGCCAAAGATTGAGCTATTAGAAAAAATGAATAGAACAGGTGCTGATTCATCAGAGGACACAGATGAGACCGAGGCCAGATTTTCAGAGGAGATAGAGACTGATTTAGTAGAGACCAAGTATGGGTTACAGAAGGACATGGAAGAAGACATACTACATGTGAGAACAGAGACTGTGCTGTCGGTGGAAACAGTGAAGACCGATACTGACTCATCAGATGAATCACTGGAGTCCAGATCACTTGAAATATCAGAGGCTGGATTATCTGAAGAATTAGTGGACAGTGAGGCTGGATTACAGGAGATTTACACAGAAATACCAGATGTGGAGAAAGAGTCTGGATTATCAGAGGAGACCATAGATGCGGGATTATCAGAGAAAACAGATGTGCCAGACACAGAATTCGTGAAAAATACAGAGGCTGGATTAATGCTAGAGGCTGAACTTTCAGATGAGACAGAAGCTGTCTTAAAAGAGAAGACAGAAGATAACACGCCAAACAAATCACTGGAAATTGAGGGAGGATTATTTTGGGAAACCGATGAGACCGAGGCTTTGGTAACAGAGGAAGTTGTGAAGACAGGGCCTGGTGTATCGAAGCAGACAGATTTTGGATCACAGGGTCAATTACTGGAGATCGAGGTTGGAGTAATAGAGAAATCCCAGGTTGAGTGGTCTGAGGAAACTGTGGAGACAGATGCAGGATTACCAGAGGAAAACAGAGGGGATGGTGCAAAAGCAGGATTCAGTTCCCCATCAGGAATCAAAAATGTAGACCAGAATCTTCAGCTTCAGGTAATAATAATAATACTTTCCCTAATAAAGGGATACTTAAGGATGTTGGCAATGAGGCCATTTATCTAGTTCACCAGAGTAAGATAAACTTGTGGAAATCATTTTTTTGTCTCTGTGTCCAGTATGAAGGAAGTTAGAGGTAGTTTCGTGAGCCTAATGACTGGAAGTCTATGGGTATCTGCTAGCATTGGCTATCGAAACTACCTCTAACTTCCTTCATACTGGACACAGATACATAAAAATAGTATCCACAAGTTCATCTGAATCTGGGGAAGTAGATAAAGGGCCTCATTGCCAAAATCCTGATGTATCCCTTTAAAAGAATGCAATCAAATACATATGATTATAATATCTAATCGTAAGAGATAAAGCAAACATTAGTCTCTTTCATATATTTTATTGAATTTGTTTCCCTTATTTTTATGTTATCGAAATTAAGCTTAATCTAAAAGGATGTTATGAATTTGAAAACTTGTCAGTAAATCAGTTGTGTTTATCATACCATTGCAGTTTGACGCCTCCGCTTTGGACTTCACTGCTCAAAAGTCTCGCATTGCCCTCAAGAATCCACATGCCCGTCCACCCAGGGATCCCCGTACTCTTCTACAGATGCCATCTTTGACCCCCTCCCCTTCAAAACCCACCGTACACGTGCCAGTCAGAGGTCCAATAGGGATACCAATGAGGGGCATGGGCGGCATCGGAATCAAACTGCCTGGTAAGTTGAAAATAGGAATTTAATGTGTTGTCCTACTCTGTGTGTTCTTTCATTCTGTTATCGTTGGTGACACAATGTTCTATGACAGATAATGATGATGCCCAAATTGAAGTGTGAATGGATATCTTTGTTTGTTGTTTGTGTTGCTATGATGTTGTTCAGGACTCAGTGCTTCAGGGCTCACCATCTTAAGAAAGACCGAAAAGGGGGTGAGAGATGAAAAAAACACAGAGAACATCCCTCAGGTACCTATCAGATACTTGCACTTTTTGAGCTCAACCTTTGAATAGGTCTAGTAGTATGCTTTATTATTCTGACTCTTGATTTGATTTGGCAATGTCATCTATTCAACAGAAATCTGAGATCGAGCAAGATGTAAGGGATGAATCTCCCAAGAAAGAAGAGACGCAAAACAAGCAAGAGGAGCGCAAAACTAAATGGACACCGCCTAGACATCCAGGGTAGGGAATCAATCTACAAGATTCTCTTAATTTCTTGTTTGAAATAACTTATATGAAGATATTGCCTATATAAATGTCACTACATTTTTATTATAACACCTTTGTTCAATATATATCCACCAGATTTGGAAGTCCCCTGATGATGAATGAGCTGAAGAACAAGCTGAAGAAGACTACAAAAGAGAGCGGAGATGATTGACAGGACCTTTTTTCTCATTGGTGAAACATGGTCCATGAACGATGGGCTTTAATTTAGTCATAAGTATCTCCATTTTATTGAAAACTCTCTTTGTCTATTTCTTTTGGATGTCTTTGTAAGAACAGTTTCAAATAAATAATATATTTTTGTTTTGGACAGTGTTTACTTGTTCCAGAGTGTTTTTAAAAACTGGTGTGATAAAAAAAAAGTTGACTGCTCAGGGCATTACATTGATTCAAGAAGACTATTTGTGACATTTGTTTATTTCTTTATCAGTGGGTTTGCTTCAGCAAACATCTCTTATGCATTATTTCCATACTAAGTATTTCTATAGCTACTGTAAACCAGTTATAGCATATTGCAGTTTTTTTTTTTTTTTACGATCACTTTGGCCTTTTCCAATTATAGATATTTGGGCTAGCCTATAATAGCCTATATACTGATTGGTCTTATAAAGCTTTTGTATAAACCTTAGATTAATTACGTGATTCATAAGGTGAAATAAAATAATTTAAAAAATTACCAATCTTTTTTACAAATATTTTCCTAAAAGCACTAGTCTCGGCTACATATTCTATCTACATACTGTGTCTAGATACTAACCTTGCATATTAGAGTAATTATATTGATAGGCTATACCTACTACAGTCACTACAACTAAACTATTTTACTACCACTACAATTAGACCAAGTTACTACCATAAAAACTGAAGCAACAAAATGTACAAACAAATGTTAATGTCAGAGAGCATGGGCAACAAGTAGGCTAGAGGTAGAGAGGCTGACCAGTTGCCAGAAGGTTGTGCCTTCCTAGAGCAAGACTAGCAAAACTGCTCTCCATTAAGGGTGCTGCTTCGTTGCTGCACTCGTGCCTCGTGTGTACCTCTTTGGGGAACGTTGAGAAGAAAGGTAGAATAATTGATTACAAAATCAAATGTAGATTATATTATATGCTACATAGGACTACAAATGCATGAGGTTATTTGAGCAACTTCAGTTTTCAAGATACACACTTTTAGTCAAAGCTGAGCTATCATGGTAGACCTATGCCGTAAACTAAACTAGGCTACTGCATATTATTTGGCAACATCATCAGGCGAGTTTGTGATGTCGTATACTGGAAACACTTCCTGAAATCGATGGTCGGTGCCTAAGGAGACATTGGGCTTGTTCAACAGTGCAGGCGACTGCCGACTGACTGATCTATAAATAATCTTGCATTTACCCATGATACATTACGGGTTTTATCCTCTCGAACATGGCCAGAGTTGCTACACCGGAGACCACTGCCACAGCCGTGAGAAAAACGAGGAGAATCCTGAACACAACTGGAATAAATTAATTCCGGATTTTGTCCTAGCTAGGTAGGTAACTTTAGCTTTATTTGTAACGTTATTTCTGATAGCTAACGTTAGCTACTGTACCGGTAGTTATCTAGGCTAGCTAGCTATCAACTACGAGTCATCCAGCTATCAAACTCCAAAGAACATTCGATAAACGGATAACTAGGAAATCGGAGTTTTATAAAGATGCCAGAGTTTGCGAGTTGGAAATCCGTGTTGGATGACCGTTCAAAACTATTTTTCACAGTAGGGACTCGAGTTCCCAGTTCGTTGTTTGAACGCGGCATAACCTAATAGCTAAGCTAACGCTACAACACAACTTCTGAACAGAAGAAGAGCTATGATATGATTGATTTAACTCCGTTTTGATTGTCGTCGACGCAGAAGTAAACAATCAATGTTTGTTTGCGGGCTAGCTAACTAACGCGTTAACTAGCTAAATTCGTTGCTAGTTAGTTAATAACTAGTTAGCTATGTAGCAATGATGACTTGATAACGTTAGCTAGCTAGCTAGATAGGCCCATTTTATTGTTTACTACTACAGTAGCTACTAGTACTAGCTACATTTAGGCTGAATCTGCAGAAAATGTTATATAATTAACGCCTTGTTATTTCGGTCATACAAAAGTTAACAGGAAAAGTCTATTCAGTGTGGGGTAAACATTCCATCCTGTTGAGTGGCCTCAAAATAGCCTATTTTTGGCCCAATAAATATGTATTGTTTTCCATATGGTCTGGTTGGTAATATCACCCACATTAGACAGTTGAATGTGAGGCTTGTATGTGTACTCAGGTAATAGTAATAGCTAACATTTCCTTCCTCCTCTCAGTCTATACAGGTGAGCACCCTAACATACTTTACACTGGCCTGGCCCCTCTCTCCCATCCCCTCTGCTTAACTGCGTGTGGGGGTGACTGAGAGAAACGCACAGTCCGATTTACAATATCCCTGTGTCTGGGCTGGGGAACCATAGACAGTGACGTGAGTGAGCAGCAGTCAGTGTGTCAATCTCACTCACAACCCGTTCACCATGGGTGACATCAGCGATCTGGACAGGCAGATCGACCAGCTGAGGAGGTGTGAGCTCATTAAGGAAAATGAAGTCAAAGCCCTTTGTGCCAAAGCAAGGTAACAACGAAATGACAACTGATTATTTCTCTGTCCATTACTTCTTAATGATTGTGTGGTGCATGAAATTGTTTCTTCAAATTAATTTGAGCTATATCATATTCCTAATACATTGCATGGCAGTCTACAGAAGAATATCCTTGCAACGTAAACTCATTTGTAAACTTTTTTCTTTTTTTATAACTATGTTCTAACTAAGCAAGGGGAAGTTTGACATCTGTGTCCCTTTCTACTTTATTTCCAGAGAGATTCTTGTGGAGGAAAGCAACGTACAGAGAGTTGATTCCCCAGTTACAGTATGTGAAGCGGATACTTAATGTCTCTCTTTAACGTGTACATTAAAATGTATGACATTGATTTGTTCTCAATTCTGTGCCATTCCAGGTGTGTGGCGATATTCACGGGCAGTTTTATGACCTAAAGGAATTATTCAGAGTAAGTTTGATCAGGCCATTTTAAGATTTGGTCCTTAGCCCAAACTTAGACCCCTTTGTTAATTATTTCATTTATTAATAAGACTGGGTCTAATCGTATTCAATAGAGAATGTGTTCGAGAGAACTCACGATCAAATGACTGTACCTGTGTAGCAGCACGTGTTCCACGTCGGAATGTACAGTACCAGTCAAAAGTTTGGACACACTTACTCATTCCAGGGTTTTTCTTTATTTTTACTATTTTTTACATTGTAGAATAATAGTGAAGACATCAAAACTATGAAATAACACATATGGAATCATGTAGTAACCAAAAAAGTATTGAAAAAATCAAAGTATATTTGAGATTCTTCAAAGTAGCCACCCTTTGCCTTGATGACATCTTTGCACACCTTTGGCATTCTCTCAACCAGCTTCATGAGGTAGTCACCTGGAATGCATTTCAATTAACAGGTGTGCCTTGTTAATTTGTGTAATTTCTTTCCTTCTTAATGCGTTTGAGCCAGTCAGTTGTGTTGTGACAAGGTAGGGGTGGTATACAGAAGATGGCCCTATTTGGTAAAAGATCAAGTCCATATTATGGCAAGAGCAGCTCAAATAAGCAAAGAGAAATGACAGTCCATTATTACTTTAAGACATGAAGGTCAGTCAATCTGGAAAATGTCAAGAACTTTGAAAGTTTCTACAAGCGCTATGATGAAACTGGCTCTCATGAGGACCGCCACAGGAAAGGAAGACCCAGAGTTACCTCTGCTGCAGAGGATAAGTTCATTAGAGAACTTAATATTTCAGCCCTAATAAATGCTTCACAGAGTTCAAGTAACAGACACATCTCAACATCAACTGTTCAGAGGAGACTGCGTGAATCAGGCCTCCATGGTCGAATTGCTGCAAAGAAACCACTACTAAAGGGCACCAATAAGAAGAAGAGACGTGCTTGGGCCAAGAAACACGAGCAATGGGCATTAGACCGATGGAAATCTGTCCTTTGGTCTGATGAGTCCAAATTTGAGATTTTGGGTTCCAACCGCTGTGTCTTTGTGAGAAGCAGAGTAGGTTAACGGGTTATCGCATGTCTGGGTCCCACCGTGAAGCATGGAGGAGGAGGTGTAATGGTGTGGGGGTGCTTTGCTGGTGACACTGTCTGTGATTTTATTTAGAATTCAAGGCACACTTAACCAGCATGGCTACCACAGCATTCTGCAGCGATACGCCATCCCATCTGGTTTGCGCTTAGTGGGACTATAATTTGTTTTTCAACAGGACAATGTTGAAAAATGTTGTGTAAGGGCTATTTGACCAAGAAGGAGAGTGATGGAGTGTTGCATCAGATGACCTGGCCTCTACAATCTCCTGACCTCAACCCAATTGAGATGGTTTGGGATGAGTCGGACCGCAGAGTGAAGGAAAAGCAGCCAACAAGTGCTCAGCATATTTGGGAACTCCTTCAAGATAATTGGAAAAGCATTCCTCATGAAGCAGGTTGGGAGAATGCCAACTGTGTGCAAAGCTGTCATCAAGGCAAAGGGTGGCTACTTTGAAGAATTTATAATATATTTTGATTTGTTTATCACTTTTTTGGTTACTACATGATTCCATATGTGTTATTTCATAGTTTTGATGTCTTCACTATTATTCTGCGATGTAGAAAAAAATAAAGAAAAACCCTTGAACGAGTAGGTGTCCAAAGTTTTGACTGGTTCTGTATATCCATAGTCGGTAGGCTTGGGCGGTATGCCTTATACAGTATACCGGGGTATTTGGAAATAGCCACGGGATGATTTTTCAATACCTTTGAAACTATGTCTTTTGAAGTTTTTTATTTTATTTATTTGAATATTTGTAGCTACTTAAGTAAATACCTGCAATCAACTTGTGAAATATATTAGGAGATAAAGAAGATCGCGTTCTTCATGTCACAACTTTTAATTGAGGTTTACCGGTAGTCCCAAGTCACGTGCTGTTTGTTTACAAGCCCACAGCGACAAGAGACCGGAGCCTTGTGAGTCACTCACTTTTGTGCAGCACCCGCCAGGTGATGATGTTACAGTATGGAATTCACAACTAAATGTTTGCCAGCAAGATATCTTATAACTAAGTTAACTGTCTAAAATTAGCTAAATGCTCTGCAGTTGTGTATTTGGTTTGCTAATTTAGTAGCTAGCTAGCTATCTAGCTAAGTGCTTAGCTTCTTCCAAAATCAAGTTTCACTTGGTAACTGCATAGAATACCCTCCTGGATTAAGAGCCTTGCTGTCTATTTGTTTTGTGCGTGCAGCAAACCGTGAGTAGTATTTTTGCAAATGGTTAGGTCATAGACTGTATAAAATGTTCGCACTGCGCTCGTTAGCATTTAGTTAGCATTCTCTATGGGATTTGACATGTACTTGTTAGTATTGCTAACCTTCGGATTATAGAGGCTCAGGGGGTTTGAAAATAGCGTCCCTTGTGTTCAGTGCCGGTATTACCGAATATCCCAGTATGGCACAAGGTTGGTATGACAATCTGCATACCGCCCAAGCCTAATAGTCGGTTGACAGTACTTCTTAAAAAGTTGTCTTACATCACCGAGCAGTGCACAATAAACTATTAAATCCAATTGTTAGATGCTACCACCCACCTCCAAATCAATGTTTGCGCACGCATATGCCATTCTACTTTTTGTGTTCATCTCTGTGGCAGCATGGTGCCCGTATTGCGAGGCTGATTTAGCTAGGACAAACAGCTGTGAAACACAGAGGCAGGTGTGCGTGCAAAGTGAGAACAACATGGAATCCATGTTTGGTTTTGATTTGGAGGGGGATGGTAGCATTTAACAATTGGATTTAATAGTTTCTTGTGCACTGCTCGGTGATGTAAGGGACGACTTTTTAAGAAATGTCTACCGACTATGGATATATATTCCAACGTGGAACAGGTGCTGCTACACAGGTGCAGTCATTTGATCATGAGTTATCTCGAACGCATTCGCTATGGAATACGATTAGACCCAGTCTTATTAATAAATGAAATAGTAAAGGGGTGTAAGTTTGGGCTAGGTGGTCCTCAACCCTCATTCTGTTTGTGTTGAGCTTTGGGCTCTGTTTTTTGAATTAATACTTTTTGAATTGTCTTGACTAATAGTGTGACCTATGCATTTCAGGTTGGCGGTGATGTTCCAGAGACAAACTACCTCTTCATGGGAGATTTCGTGGACCGAGGATTCTACAGTGTGGAGACGTTTCTGCTGCTACTCGCTCTCAAGGTACAGACCAAAGCTTATTGGCTTTTGTGTAATTCATTTGCGCACAATGGTGTCTCCCATACATTAGCCTACATCTGTGGCTGAGTTGGAATAACCATACTTGCGTCCTAAATAGTAAGGCGTTTGAGTGTTTTTTTTTAATAGTATTTAACATTTTGAAAATCAAGTCTACTTTAAATGCCTGGATGTCCTACTCATTTTGGCTTTGACAACAGCTGACAATCAGAAATGGGGATGTGCTACCGAATTTAACCAATAACGTGAAATTACGCATTCTCAGTATGCAAAAATAAAACGTTTTTATAGTGTGAATTTTTTCGAGAATCGAGTATGGTTTAAATGCCAGGATGTTATACTAATTTCGGCTCTTCATCTAGTAGAATTCGATGCAAATTTTTCCAGAATGCATTCGAAGAGGTGGGCTGCGAGTGATAGGCTGTAGTTCTCTTCAAGTAGCCAAACAGCAAAACTAGGCTACTTAATTGGGAAGATACCAAATAGCGACGCTTCTGCGGTGGTGTTCAAATGTAGGCTAAGTAGTTTTTGTTCTCCTTAAAATGATCATGAGTATTGCATCGTAGGCTACATCTTTAAACACAGAAGTTTTTTTTTTTTTTTACCCAAAGCATATTTATGTTCTCCATTAGTGTTTCTTGTTCTCATGGCCTTTGTCAGAGCTTTTAAACTAAACTAAATACTAACCCATCTTTTGATTTCTGAATGTGCTGTCACCAGGGACTCGGGATGTGGCTGCATTATTGATGCCATGTTAATCAGGCCTGTTGATTTGAACATATGGATTGTTTTAGTTTTGTAGGCTTGGCTACCTATTTAATTTATGGATCAAGCCTTAGCAGTCATTCTGATTTTGTTCCCAATGATCAGTGCTTTAGTTTGTTGCTGTCTAGCGGTTCTGAATTTGCGATGCACACAACTGCCCACTTTTGTCTATGCAATAGCTTTTTGATTTAAACATTAAAAAAGTTGAGTATGTACTAGGCTTTGATTGAATTTGATTGAATTTATATGTTACAGCACTTTGATTTCACTAATAAATATGTTGAAATGGAACCAAATGATCTGTCTTCAGTCTTTTTTAAATAGGACAGATGGGCGTTATGGGCTATGGTGTTGGTCGAATGTGACCAGCCTGAGTGGATCTATAACTCAATTCCTATTCTATTCAGAGTTTAAAGAAATTAAAGTTGTTAATTTAGAGAAAATCGAATTGGAAAGAGCCATTATCAGGCTGGTTAATGCGATGCATGTCTGAATTTGGAAAAATCCACTCACACTTGGCCCTGCCCCACCCACTCAGCCAGTCAGGAGATGTTACTGCATTGCAGCCGTGGCATACTGCATCATTTTTACTAAATGTTATTTGCTAAATAGTATGTGACGATGAGTACATAATATGCAGTTTAAGTATGTAGTACGCTAGTATGGGCATTTGGACAAGGCCAGTGTCTTATGACACTATGCTCTGTGGATCCAGTTGACTCTGTTCTTAATCTCTCTCCATACCCACAGTTCTTCTGAAGCTCCATACCGGCTGTCCGTCTCATTCTTTGCAACATGTCTCTTTCTCCTTATTCCTGTCTCTCTTTCCCTATACAGTCTCCTTTTAACTTTCTTTCCCTCTCTGAAATACCTGTCCAGAATACAAATCTTTATGGAAAAAAAAATCCAAGGCATTCTTCAACATTCTTGTAATCCTAATGCCTTTTTTAAACTGGCATGTCTGCAAGGATATTTAAAAATAACAGTTGTCTTGCCCTGTCCAGGTCCGCTACCCTGACCGCATCACGCTGATCCGCGGCAACCACGAGTCACGGCAGATCACACAGGTGTATGGCTTCTATGACGAGTGCTTGAGGAAGTATGGCTCGGTCACTGTGTGGCGATACTGCACCGAGATCTTTGACTACCTCTCCCTCTCCGCCATCATCGACGGCAAGGTACAGGACTCCTTTTTTAAAGTTTTGTTGTGTAACTTGTATGCGACTGAGATATTCAGTTGTTTACAATATTATAATAAAATTGTCTAGTTATGTCCCAACTCTAAACGGCCTCAATGATCATACAGAGATCTGTCGATGGGACTAATTCAATGCTTTGTATGTTTCAAATAAGTATTTATAAGAATGATGTCCTTGTGGTGTGCAGTCATTTAAGGGTTATGCCGTTTCTCTCTGCAGATATTCTGTGTGCACGGTGGCCTCTCACCCTCCATCCAAACGCTGGACCAGATCCGAACCATCGACCGGAAGCAGGAGGTGCCTCACGACGGGCCCATGTGTGACTTACTGTGGTCGGACCCAGAGGGTGTGTGTGTTTGTGTGTGTCCAAAACATACCAATGACTTTCAGTTACTCAATCTAAAGAGGCAGACATAAACCCCACTTCCTCTGTCCAACCACAATCTGTTTTTGTCTCTATTGGTGGTGTTATTGATATTTTAGTCTATGACTGTGTCCCAGTACTCTTTAATGGCTTCTTCTCGCCTCTTCCCTCTTGCTCATAAATCTATCACTGGACTTGATAGGTTTTGACATTGTTGCTTCTTTCTATCAAGTTGATTTCAGATCCGTGGTCATGAAGGACATGGCCTGTATGGATTTGGAGTCTTCTGCAACAGCTTTGTTTTATAGTGAATAAATACAATCTTTTGTGATCCAGACACCACGGGGTGGGGTGTGAGCCCAAGGGGGGCAGGCTACCTGTTCGGCAGTGACGTGGTGGCCCAGTTCAACACGGCCAATGACATTGACATGATTTGCAGAGCCCACCAGCTTGTCATGGAGGGCTACAAGTGGCACTTCAACGAAACCGTGCTTACCGTGTGGTCGGCACCTAACTACTGCTACAGGTATCGCCATCTGTACTACATTTTGTATATAAGAAGAAGAATGATAATACTAAGCCCAAGTGACCTACATTCACCTACATCAAGCTGGATTCACTTACCAACCAAATGCATGGTTCTGATAGCATTAAAGGAGAACCGATGTCCTCTCTAGAATGCCAGATGAATGACTCGCATCCATAACGACAGGGTCTTAATTATTAGTAGAGCTGTAAATTAACCTGATTTGAGTCCCTGTCTCTTCCTCTCAGGTGTGGTAATGTGGCGGCCATTTTGGAACTTGACGAGCACCTCCAGAAGGACTACATCATATTCGAAGCCGCCCCACAGGAAACCAGAGGCATCCCCTCCAAAAAGCCTGTGGCCGACTACTTCTTGTGACCTTATGTTTGGAAGGAAAGCAAAAATCGACTACGGGAGATTTATAGTATTTGTATTTCCCCCTCCCCCACCCCATTGTCTTAACTCTCTTTTTAGCCCTTCCATGTTTCTACTCATTATCAGCTCCACTTTCTCGTGCTGTTCATCTTCCACCTTTCTTAAATCGGTTTCCATGGTAGTCCTTTGTTGTGCCCCTCTCTTTGCTACAGACCCCCTCATCTCTATCCCTGACTTCCATTCCTCTCCTGCAGCAACGTTTTCTCTTAATGCTGAGATGGCAGCCACACTTGAAGTATTAGCTCTCTTCTCAAACCCCTTTGTATGCCGTGGTCTTTTTTTCGTTTAATGTTGATACTGGTGCTGCTAAGGAGATTGAAAAAGAAAGACCGCATACATGGGTGAAGAGGTGTAGTATTTCAAAGCCCTCACTAGGGTGGTTGTCAAACTCCAATACTGGTGGATGTAGGGCTGTATGAAAATTGCATGATGATTTTCTTAACTCTTTTTTTTATTTTTATTTTTTTATGTTGAGGGTGGAATTGACACTTTTGAAGTTTGGGATAGTTTTCGTGTCTCTTTTCCAAGTGGCTGAACTGTTCGATGCATCCGTTGCAGGTAACACATTTTACTTACCGTGAAGGAGCAGCTACACATGCTGACGCTGCATTTTATGGACAATTTTAGGACAAGTTGCAAAGTAATGTAAACGTCATACCAAACTATTTTTTTGGGAACATGCTCTCTCTCTCTGACCAGTCTTTCTCTAGGACTAATTGTTGATTTTTGATGAATTATTTGTGGAAATAAAAACCAATTTCTTTGGTATAAATGGCTTATTCTCAGTGCTTTTGTCAGGCATGTGATCAAAGAATGTATGCAGAGGTGACTGGCTAAATGTATACTAATAGAGTATCAGTGTCATTTGTGGTAGATTACGCAGCATAATCAATGCCAGTTTCGTGTTGGATATTCTGAATAAAATACACTGAGTAAGAAACTTGAAACGGGCATGATAGAAGTAACTCAATACCCTATACTACTCTCAATAAACCAGAAAACCATATCTGAGTGTTCATGAAAGTTAGTCAACCCTGCACCTCAATATAAATTGATTTTGTTCCCTATTTTTCATGTGAACCACACACACAGCTTTCGCAAGGCTTTTGAAAGGGAAGTAAAATTGGTAAATGTATCAGTTCCTCAGTTCACATGAGCTCAAAGGGAAGTTTTGAAGAAGTTAAACTACATCAGAATGGCCCTCATGTTATGCCAAAATCACACTGAAATATATGGAGGTAAATCATTGACAATGATTTGAGGGTAAAATAAATGTGTAGTTGTAAACAATTTCCAAGTGTGTAACTGATGAGTTGTAAACGAATCATATGTAGTTGTAAACATTCTCAAACGTGTAATTTACGAGTTGTGAACATGAACAAAACAAATGTGTAATTGTAATGGCATTCGCAAACTTGTAACTTAATATTTGCAAGCAATAATTGCATCTGTACACCTGCTCATGTCAATTTCGTGCACTCATTTGGCAGTGCTTTAGCACCCTAACATGACAAAAAGATTTGTAGATGTGCAAACGAGGTATAACGTGGTCCAGGTTCCAGGGACATCACCGGATAGAAAATCCAATATGGCTGCCAACACAATGCCATATATCGATGTGTGTGGACGTCCGAACTCAATAGCTCTACTCTCATTTGTCCAAAGGATTGGTTTATGTTTTTTTGCATTTAGCTTGCGACACATCATGGATGAGATCAATAAATCATTAGAAAGGGTATAGATAGATACAGTGGGGAAAAAAAGTATTTAGTCAGCCACCAATTGTGCAAGTTCTCCCACTTAAAAAGATGAGAGAGGCCTGTAATTTTCATCATAGGTACACGTCAACTATGACAGACAAAATGAGAAAAGAAAATCCAGAAAATCACATTGTAGGATTTTTTATGAATTTATTTGCAAATTATGGTGGAAAATAAGTATTTGGTCAATAACAAAAGTTTCTCAATACTTTGTTATATAGCCTTTGTTGGCAATGACACAGGTCAAACGTTTTCTGTAACTCTTCACAAAGTTTTCACACACTGTTGCTGGTATTTTGGCCCATTCTTTCATGCAGATCTCCTCTAGAGCAGTGATGTTTTGGGGCTGTCGCTGGGCAACACGGACTTTCAACTCCCTCCAAAGATTTTCTATGGGGTTGAGATCTGGAGACTGGCTAGGCCACTCCAGGACCTTGAAATGCTTCTTACGAAGCCACTCCTTCATTGCCCAGGCGGTGTATTTGGGATCATTGTCATGCTGAAAGACCCAGCCACGTTTCATCATCAATGCCCTTGCTGATGGAAGGAGGTTTTCACTCAAAATCTCACAAAACATGGCCCCATTCATTCTTTCCTTTACACGGATCAGTCGTCCTGGTCCCTTTGCAGAAAAACAGCCCCAAAGCATGATGTTTCCACCCCCATGCTTCACAGTAGGTATGGTGTTCTTTGGATGGAACTCAGCATTCTTTGTCCTCCAAACACGACGAGTTGAGTTTTTACCAAAAAGTTATATTTTGGTTTCATCTGACCATATGACATTCTCCCAATCCTCTTCTGGATCATCCAAATGCACTCTAGCAAACTTCAGACGGGCCTGGACATGTATTGGCTTAAGCAGGGGGACACGTCTGCCACTGCAGGATTTGAGTCCCTGGCGGCGTAGTGTGTTACTGATGGTAGGCTTTGTTACTTTGGTCCCAGCTCTCTGCCGGTCATTCACTAGGTCCCCCCGTGTGGTTCTGGGATTTTTGCTCACCGTTCTTGTGATCATTTTGACCCCACGGGGTGAGATCTTGCGTGGAGCCCCAGATCGAGGGAGATTATCAGTGGTCTTGTATGTCTTCCATTTCCTAATAATTGCTCCCACAGTTGATTTCTTCAAACCAAGCTGCTTACCTATTGCAGATTCAGTCTTCCCAGCCTGGTGCAGGTCTACAATTCTGTTTCTGGTGTCCTTTGACAGCTCTTTGGTCTTGGCCATAGTGGAGTTTGGAGTGTGACTGTTTGAGGTTGTGGACAGGTGTCTTTTATACTGATAACAAGTTCAAACAGGTGCCATTAATACAGGTAACGAGTGGAGGACAGAGGAGCCTCTTAAATAATAAGTTACAGGTCTGTGAGAGCCAGAAATCTTGCTTGTTTGTAGGTGACCAAATACTTATTTTCCACCATAATTTGCAAATAAATTCATTAAAAATCATACAATGTGATTTTCTGGATTTTTTTTTCTCAATTTGTCTGTCATAGTTGACGTGTACCTATGATGAAAATTACAGGCCTCTCTCATCTTTTTAAGTGGGAGAACTTGCACAATTGGTGGCTGACTAAATACTTTTTTTCCCCACTGTACATGGGCGCAACTTTGGTTTTAGAAGTGGGGAAGGGACACATATGTTTTTTTAGGGGGTAGATCAGCTTTAATATTGCCGATAGATTGTGGCTTCCATCAATGTAATTGTCTGCATCATTTCCAATCACCCATATATTTTTTTGTAAATATATAGATTTAAAAAATATATTTTCCTTTATTATTTTCCCCTAACCCTACCATTCCTCCCCTAATGGACAACAACACTTAGGCTTATACTTCCAGCTTATACATACTATATACATTTTACGGACACAGTATATTTTACAATAGTTATCTTTTGTTTGTTTTTAGTCCCATCCTTCAGCTCCAATCAATCCCTCCCATCTATCTCTGAACACCATCCAGTTTTGATTTTTATTTGCCATATATTTTTCAACTGTGTTGTTTCACAAAAGTTCTGAACCTTTCTATTCTCATAGATTCTACATATTGTAAATTAAAAATGAAATTGTTTGCTAAGAGTATTATATTATTGATCGATTGACTATGACTTGAAATGACCCAGCAGTGCTATTTGCTGTGATGAGTTCTGAGGATACGAAGAGGCAGGACGCAGACGCAGGAATCAACAATGTAAAGGTTTACTTAACACTGAGCAAGAGAACAACAAAGAGCGAGTACACAACATTACACTAACAATCACACACAACACAACAGTGAACAGACCAGGGCTATATAGGGGTGGTGATGAGATGATGAGGTGCAGGTGCGCTGGAGGTGATCAGGGTGCATTGGGTTTCCATTCCGGTATTGCGCTCAGTACCATAAATTACTACGTTTTTGGTCACAAAACTGTTTTTTTTGTCACTACCATGGCAGAAATATACCATGGTACTGGTGCAAATACCATGGAAAATAAAATTTTATTTGCACTAGTACCATGGTATTTTCCTGCCATGGTAGTGATGAAAAAAACATGATAGTACCATGGTCTTTTTTAAATTGTACTACCATGGTACATTTTTGTAAGGGAAGTAGATCTAGCAATTAATCACATCATCTCTATTCATAACATTAGGCCTACTACTAAAATAATTAAAGAGCAGCAGTAAAATAACTGTCACGACTTCCTCCGAAGCTGCCTCCTCTCCTTGTTCGGGCAGGCTTCGGCGTTCGTCGTCACCGGCTTACTAGCCACTGTCACTCCATATATCATCATTCCATTTGTCTTGTCTTGTTAATTACACACACCTGGTTCTTATCCCCTCATTAGTCTGTGTATAAGTGTTCCCTCTGCCCCCCTTGTCCTTGTGGGTGATTGTTATTTGTGAAAGTAGTGGAGCTCGGTGGAGCTACTCTCCCTTTGTATTGCCAGGGTAGATATTTCCCATGTGCCTGTATATTGTTGGAGTATTCCGTATCGTGTATTGCCAGGGTAGATAGTTTCCCCTGTGCCTGTTTTCGTGTGTCGCTATCCAGCGCATTTGTGTACGACAGAATAAACTCTGTATTCAGTGATTTACCCTCCTGCACCTGACTCCTTCCATCACACTCATCACAATAACAGTAGCGAGGCTATGTACAGGAGGTACCACTACAGAGTCAATGTGCAGGGGGCACAGGTTAGT